CTCTTCTATAAAAGAATGAGACTGAAATACTTTGGAGGGGGTATCTGTAGGCGTATAAAATTGCCTATAGGTCCCTTAGCACAGCTCGACGCCGATTTAACAAACGGACCACCGGGCGACGTATCCAAACAAGACCGTTAGCTCGCCAACGCTGAAGCCAAGCTATACGCAACGGAGCAGGTTAACGAGGCGACAAATCGCACCCAAGCATTGGAATGCATCCACTCGCACGCGGAATCAAACCAATGTTTAGGTGAATCACCGAGTCATCTAAACAAGAGCGAACTCGGATGAATCACGATCAAATCAACATCAATTCCGGACTCAAATTCAGAAGTTGGTTTACTGCCATATCAGGAACCCGACTCACTGCCAAATCTGGAATCAAGTCAAAGAGTCGTTGCCAAGTCAATCAACCACACAAGAGAACCAGAACCGGAAACAAAGGACGAAACGGACAAACACCCGGGGACTCGGCCGAAACCGAACCACCCCAGGGTGGCTCGGCCCAAGCCGAGCCACCCTGAGGTGGCTCGGCCAAGGCCGAGCCACCCATGGGTGGCTAGGCTCAGAACTGTGCGCGGGCACAGTTCTGAGTGCCTATAAATAGGCCTTGTGCTCATTTGTTTCAGAGGTTGGAAATTTTGGAGAGAGGCGAAGCCCTGCTGGATTGAAGACTCAGATCTAAAAAAGATCACAACTTTGAAGGCTTGGAGACTTGGACTTTCAGATCCGGTGCTCGGCGATCACCAACGCCAAATAAGGCAGGAGTTCGAGAGGATTGGATTTGAGATCTACACGATCACACTCCGGATCTAAGCTTGGTTCTTAGATCCCGAGATTCGAGCGGTTGTTTCCTTGGTGAAACAATCCCTCCCGGCTATTATTCCCTTGGTGGAATATTACCCGTCATATCGTGTAGATCCGACCGGATCGAGATCACGCGGTGGTCCACGGCAAATAACCCCGGCGCAGGCAAAGAACCCACCAAAGCGAGCGACCGCAAAACAGGAGCTCGCGATTAGTTCGACAAATAAGGAAAATTGTAATCTTTACTTTGTTTTCTTTGATTTTTCATTGTAACCGGATCTTATAAAAAGACCGGATCTTTGTAACGCATAAAGTTGTTAACTGAGATAGCAATGATATCAACAATGAAGAAAGACACGATTTTTCCCGCGAACAACCCCCTGCATTGACGGGAGGGTTATTGGCATTGTGAGCTCCATCCCTATCCGTGTGCTCTTCTTCCTGAACAACCTGATTACGGTGACTTGGTTCACCTTGTTGGTTCCTGAATGCCTGGATTTGTTGCTCATGCATCTCTCTCATAGTCTGCAGGGCCATCTGCATCTCAAACTTGAAACTTTCTTTCTGTTTAGCCAAAGCGTCTTCAAGCATCTTGGCCATTTCTTCCGCGCTTATCATAAATGACTCGCGGGGTTGTCCTTCGCTGGACACTGTATTGTCCGATGCGACAGCAGAGCAGGAATCCGATTCTTCATCTTCCGAAGGCAATCTTGTCCGAACCCTACCATAAGTTCCTCGTGCGATGGCTCCGGACTGCAGACGGGTTACACGCCGAGATGCTTCCAGAAACGACTTGAGATCAATCTGTGTCAATGTCTCTTTGCTGGTCATGTTGGCGGTGACCCTCGGAAATTCTCCGTCTTTAACCACCGTTCTTCTTTGCCGGAAACGCCTATACCTTGGTTTTGGCGTTTCGGTGCCGAGCCTTTCGAACACTGAAATTCTCTCGGGGACTCCCTTGATGCAGTTGCATTGAGACAGTACTACCCGAATGAGCTTGGCACATGGGCACTGAGTTTCGAGCCCTTGAGGGCTTCTTTTTCTTGTTTTGTTCGTACCCCCAGCACGATAGTACAACTCGTCCATTTGATCGGAGTAACCTATCGCGTGTTGGCATGATTTCCCAGGTATAACGTTATCATCCTCGGATGACAACGTTTCCTTCTGAGAGCAAACTGCCTTATTTGGACTTCCGAGAGTCACTCGCCTCGAAACACGCCTTTGTAGACATGAATTCTCAGCGGGCTCGGACATTATAACGACATACCAAAACCTTTTAATACATGTGGGATGATATGAAATCGCCCCTGTGTATTATGAAGTGTGTTTTGTCAAAGCAAAACAAACACTTTTAAGCGTCGATCCCCTCAAAGGAGGATACCGGCTCTTCTCGAAGGTACCTCAAAGGATACAAACGAGGATCTGCAAGCAAATACAGGAACATATATATGGAATTGACGAAATACAGTATTTAAATTCGTGAAAAGGTGAAAGAAATATACCTCCACGTGAGGGCGCAGCAGGGGCAGCCTCCTCGGGGCTCTGAACAGTCGGTCGGCTTCGGGTTCCTCGAGCTCTACGCGGCGACATGACGAGTAAACGATCTACAAGGAAACCCAACGAAGAAAGTCAGGATTTTTAGCAATAAATCAACCCAAATATCATCAAATATGGCCGAAATAATGCATTCATAGTCACAGTTAAAGAAAATCAAGATTTTGGAGAAAAGGGGGGTGAACAGACCTTTAAAATCCGAGTGCAATCTTCCCAAACAAGAACACCACTCAATTCGGCAACAAAAAGGAGAAGAAATAGAAGAAAGCTGGTCGAAAATCGCCCAAGAATCACCCAAAAATCGCCAAAATCCAACGTAAAAAACCCTAAAACCCTAAGTCCCGACTTATATAGCAGCCGAGCGAGACAGGAAACTCTGTCTCGCTGAGCGAGACAGACAACTCTGTCTCGCCGAGCGAGACAGAGAACTCTGTCTCGCTGAGCGAGACAGAAAACACTGTCTCGCTGAGCGAGACAGAAAATACTGTCTCGCCCAGTGAGACAGCAAACTCTTCTGTTTCACTCCATGAAACAGTAGATATTATCTGGGTCAAAAGCCAAATGTAATGCAAATGAATACTCCAATGGGTACACGAGTCTAAACTGTATTCCCACCCTCAACAGGAAGTTTCTGGAGAATATTAATCTGAATATTCTTAAGGATAACCTGAGGAATTCTCAATGGATATACCAATTCAATGGTAAACGCTGAATTCACAAGAGCAAGTATCAACTTCAATTCAAGATCTCGACAACGGTCAAGCGATAAACGCGACGCCGGGAGAACGTTAGCTATTCTACGAAGAACTGGATAGACTAACAGCAGAAGAGGTTAAACATTGAAGCCATTTACAAGTCCTTTCATACGATCTATTCAGCCAAGCATTGAAGGGATCGTAAGTAAAATCTATCTTATCCAAAGTATCCCATGCTCCTCTATAAAAGAATGAGTCTGGAATACTTTGGAGGGGGTATCTGTAGGCGTCAAAAAATGCTAATAGATATCCCAAGCATAGAGAAGATCACTCAAAAATTCACAAGAAAGGATTTCATACTGTTTTGGAAAAATCAAAACAAGTATGAACTGTCTCGCCAGCGAGACAGTCTTTGCTGTCTCGCCAGCGAGACAGTGTTGAAATAGTCAAAACTACATTTGTAACTGCCCTACACGTGTCCATTAACTGCCAAGGGACGTGGGAAACATCATGGGCGAAAATCACGTGGATAACTGCCAAAATAACGGAGTTTGAAACGTGGAAGAACAGTTACAGCGAGAAACTGCCATTTTCCGAGACAGCATTTACTGTCTCGCTGAGCGAGACAGCAAATTTACTGTCTCGCGGGTCGAGACAGCAAACGCTGTCTCGCCCAGCGAGACAGCAAACACTGTCTCGCCGTACTGATTTCTATGATTGCTGAGTTTTTGCAGTTACAGACCCTTGAGGCTATAAATACCCCCCTAGGGTCACTTCTGACGAGGATCGAGCATTTGTTAGAGCATTCCAGAGCAGAGAGAGCAGAGATTTGAGTTCTTTTCTTGCAACGCCTTGAAATTAAGCTTCGACTTGATTTTAAGAAGAACGACTATCTTACTTCGATAAGATATCGTTTCAATTTCTACTTCGATAACGAAGTTAGAATCATAAGCCCCCTCTTCACGATTCGTGAATCGGCGGTCCACGAACCAAAGCGTTCCCGGCACAGGCAAAGTCCCACGAAAACGAGAATTGATAGACGATTTTCGTGTTTGTTTCTCAAGAGTTGTAATTTTTGTTTTGTTGTGTAGAAAAAGTCTTATAAAAAGATTATTCTTTCGAATTGGTTGTAACCGAACAAAGTTATAATGAATTCCACAGCAGCGACTTTTGAACCAAACAGTGCTCTGTTCTGAGCTTATACAAACCATCTTAATATTACGTATTTGATTATATTTTTATTAACACATCAACAATATATTATTGTTTTTTTAAAACTTAACACTATGATTTAATGACTAAGATAAACAAGTTGGAGTCCATGTTTTGATGTAATAAACAAATATGTTAGATAAATTTTGATATATACAAATTTTAAAAAATAATGTTGTGTATGCAAGCATGTAAAAAATATATTGATCCCAGCTTTACACACAAATTTATTTCATAAATATTTTTAAATATGTGTTAATAAAATTTATGACAAGTGTAATAATCCATGTTTATAGATTTCAACTCAAAAAGAATCTGACTTATTTTATAGTAAGAAAATATATTAAAAATAAATAAATTTGATACTTAACCATAGCCGCGAGCATTACATGAGCAGAAAAACTAGTGGAGCTGAACACAACACCTTAAAATTGATGATTTTATCACGGCAAGCAAAAAAAAAAGATAATGATTTTATTGATCCAGGTACTTTCTTTTATTTCTAAGCCCGTTCTTGATACCCAAAGTTCTTGGAGAATAATATCTGAGTGTGCTTTTAACCGGCCCAATCGTGCTGAATTAGGCACGTAATCCAAAAACTCGTATGTGCGCACTTTGTTTATGCGTATTTACGCGTTTCATGTACGCGGATATATGCGCGTATGATTTACGCATATATACGCGTATATATTTTATTTACTCGTATACATGCCGCGTAGATAAAATCACCGCGTTATCTTCCCCATTTTGATTTTTGACGCGTAGCTGAGGATGAACGCAGCATTCAACCGCGTCTATAAATAGAGTCTTGGTCCCGCCCTCTCTCTTTCGAATCTCAACTCAGGGTTTCAATTTTGGGGCTTCTGACGATCTAGGGCTTGCGAAGGTTTCTGATGATCTAGGGTTTGTGCTGGAGGAAACAGGTACCTTCTCCCCTTCTACAGTTTCTCTCCGTTTCTTCAACTTTTTTTTTGGTTTGTTTTTAAAATCTTGGAGCTAGGGTTTCTCTTTTACTTCTGATCAACATCATGAACGGCGGCGGCGAGTTTCCTTTTAAACTGCGTCATCTTCAACAAAACCCTAGAAAGATGGAAACTTGGCGCCTTCAAGTCTATGTTTCGAAATTTATTTTGATTTTCAGGTGAAGCCTCGGCCACTGTATCAAACTGGACCTACTCAAATTTGTTAACCGACTTATCTAGTGTTTCATGGATTTCTTAATACTATTGAGTAGAAAAATACCGAAAGTCCCATTTCGTGGATTTAGTGTTTGCTGTTGATTTTGCAGAGGTGAGCTTTGACGAGTAGAATGATGTCCTTACAAAGTATCACTATCGAGTGCAATTATGCACAGGATCAATGTTGCATTCAAAGAAGAAGAAGAAGAAGAAGAAGAAAATATCATTCACTTTTGGTTTGCCTCCTCTTCTTACATCTCACTTAATTCCAATTTGTAACAGTTGTTTACTGTTTGTTGTTGATTTTCTAGAGGACTGATTTGAGAAGTAGAAAGGAATCCTTGCGAAGTTTCATTATCGAGTGCAATTACAGCTCAATTTCACAGTCAAAATAGAAAGAAGCTGTGATTATTCAAAGAAGAATTCTCCTTCATCCTTCGGTTTTCTCCTCTTCATTAAATTTCATTTAGTTCCATTCTGTTTGGGTTATTTATTTTTTGTTGTTGATTTTTCAGATGAGAGATTTTTATGATTCGAAAGATATCCTTGCAAAAGTATCAATGATCGAGTGCCTGTGAGTACACCGATTTCTACGTAAATTGCACCTTCAATTGAATAGATTAATTGAATTTCATTACTTGTTTTTAATTATTGCGATTACTAATGAATCATTCACCAATATAAATAATGATCTGTTTGCTAAAAGGTTTAATTATATTTGCTGGAGCGTCATATATCACGCATTTGAAACCAAGTTATGGAAGAAAAGAATAAAACATGTGACACTTCTCTTGGTTTCATAGGATCTACACATGTATGTCATCTGCTATCCTCTAAAACCAGAAGAACATGTTGGTCTGGTTTGACCTATCTTGCATGGATACTTCTATCAAGCCACACCCATACCCAACACTTCCCGTACCTGTACCTGTACCCGACACTCATTGGACACTCAACTATATAATACATGATAACAGAAATGTAAAAATATTATAGAAATTTCGATTCTCGTAACATGTGAAAAAAATAATACTGATCTCATTTAATTTATTAAATTTCAATGTATATGAAGTCATGTTCTTGTACCTTATTTTTTATAAATTTGTTGTGTCCAGTACCCACACCTGCACCCACACTATACCGGTACCCGTAACTGTACCCGTACCCATTTAACATAAGTGAAAAAAGTAATACTGATCTCATTTATTAAATTTCAATGTATATCAAGTCATGTTCCTTTACCTTATTTTTTTATAAATTTGTTGTGTTCAGTACCCACACCTGCACCCACACTATACCGGTACCCGTAAGTGTACCCGTACCCATGTAACATATGGTTTGATGAAGCTTATTTTTATAATTGCTACATCTCTAGAAATAATTGGCAATTAATCTATTTGTAAGCTAAAGACTAAATAATATATGTTTCTTGTGTTAAAATGTTTATGTTCATTGATACAGAGCATTCATCATTCCCACGTAAAAAATCCATTGTCTTAATCTTAAGCTGCTGTTTTGGTTGTCTTGTTGGAAATGGTAGAAAACTACTCTGTAGACTGAAAATTATACTCTTGTGGGTTCTGATATGTGGTGATTTGCGGGGTAATTTTAGTGTTTATCCCTTGTCAGATGGTCTTATAGTTGATGACTCGGGTAAGATAGACAAGAAGGTTTCTTTGCTCAGTCAATTTAAAGTGGACCAAGGGATTAAGAAGTATCTTTACTCAGTCAATTTAAAGGGGACCAAGGGATTTCTTCTGTTACCTGTGTTTCCATTACTAAATCAATTTATCTCTCTCTCTCTCTCTCTCTCTCTCTCTCTCTCTCTCTCTCTCTCTCTCTCTCTCTCTTCTCTCTCTCTCTCTCTTATGGACAGGTGGAGCTGGATGCATTTGTTATTTCAGGTGTAGCAAAAATGTGCAGCATGTGGAATTTATTGGAATGAAGCAAAGTGAAAGAGTTGAGCACAATTCAGTATCTCTGAGTGGAGTTTGCATCTCAGAAAAAGTTGAATCAGGGATATCATGCAGTAGGGTATATGTCTGCAGATTTATCATATGGAACCTACTTTATCTGCTATGCATTACCATGTGGAACTTTTAGCAATACCTTGTTCATCTTGCTTATGCAACTGAATCATCTTGTGCACATCTGAGCAGGTGGTACAAGTTTCTGGTGGAGGATGGTGGCATCCAAACTCTTATTATCTTGGAAATGGTCCTGAAAATCAGAAATGTTTTGCGTATCTAAAGGTCTGTAACTGTTACTTTTTCATCCCTCGCATCTCTTTAAAGAAAATTGCATTGCCCAAGGGTTTTTATCTGGACTGTCTGCCAGTGCCTTACATTGTCCAAGGTTTATCCATTCCTAATTTCCATGCGACATGGACTTTAATTGGTTGATTGTCTGTATGTGTTGTACCTGTTTTTTCATTTTCAAATATTAAATAGTTTAGTGCTAGAAAACCTTGACAGTACCTGTTTTTTCATTTTCAAATATTAAATAGTTTAGTGCTAGAAAACCTTGACAGAAACTATAGAGAAATATATCTGCACATAGTCTCCTAAATTGTATTGGTGTGTGGGTAACATGGGTGGGTAGTGGTCATAGGGTGAACATAGGCAATATAATATATTTATGGGTTCAGCCCGTGAGCTTACGGTCAAACCGCTCAATGATGGTGATTATAAATCTCCTTAGTCATGAATTCCTCATACTTCACATTTTCTGTAGTTGGTAAGCAATTGGCAGTTTATTAAATTCTCTACTAAATTCTTGAGTCAAAAATGGAGACACTATTCAGTTACTTGAGAATGCTGTTGCTTCAACTTCATATTCTTGATTTTTAGTAAAGTTGACAGAATGGTCACCAAAATACTGCTGAAAAGACATGCTTTTGAGAAACTTCAAGGTTGTGGATCGGTAGGAAGATCATGTGATGGGTGTCTCAATCAAAGCCCTAAGCATATAATCTTTTATTTAGCATATGATAAATCATAATTTTTTATGTACCTAAGGACTTAGGACATTGATGTGAACTGACAGTGATATTTATTTTTCCTTCTTGGTTGACAATCATATCCGTAGTCAGTGGCTATCAGTGAAGGAGAGCAAGCGAAGGGTTTACACATACAACAACATGGAGGAAGCACATTTTGTATACTCCATTACATTTTTGGAATGCAATCCATTCCTATGAAAGATTGTTACATATGGCTGGCAACAGGGTGTGATGATGGAACTGTGCGATTACAAGGTCACTTTCTCAAATCTCTAGTAGTCATTTATCAGTTGGTTAAACTGAAACTTGATATTTTTGCTCATTCTACTTAAAGCATCGTTCTCTTTATAAAAGTAGCCAGCAAGATTGTTTTCCGGACACCATTTGCGGGTATCATATTCTTCAACTCTTGCGAGTTATGGTGACATGCAAACTAAATATTCTTAAATCTGACATTCATATTCTAGCCATTTAGCTTTACATTCCAGTTTTACTATTGTTGGCCAAGTTTGTGTTGCCATGTACAGTGTATAGACTTGTAGAGACTGTATACTGGTAGGATGACTAGATGGACATGGGCATTTCAAAATAGTCATGGTGAGTGAGTGACTGACCCGCCTTCAAAGGATTTTATGGATTTCTTTTGAAAGTTTAGTTATCTGTAATATGGTTCAAAATATTTTTCCTTCAAGGATGATGTAACCCTTATTCAGAATATGCAGATCAAGTAGCCAAACTATCGAATTTGTAGGATATTGCTGCTGGTTGGGTCAGTATCACCATTGTATTTATTGTTTTCCATTTTCTGGATTTTATTGTGTACATTGATTACAAAATATTGCATTTAACTGGTTGATCTTTGTTTGAGAATGCATAGGTGGATTATCATAGAACATGATGCTTTTCGTAGTCTATTGTGCATTAAGTTTACACTAGTAACTCAAGTATAAGCTTAAACATTGAGCCATGTTTATCTTGAGCACGGTTTGTCCACCAGTTGTGCTTAAATCATCCTCTTTCATTCTTTTTAGTACCCCTAATAAGGTATTACTTAAGTGAGTGTTCTCTACAGAGGCTTTGTCCTTGGAAGGTGGTGCGAATCCAAATTGCTTGGGGAGCATGTCTTTGGATCTGCCGTGAGGTTTATATACTTTATATTGAAGACGCACATAAATGCTGTGAGTCAACTTTACAGCTCTAATCAAGGTGTAGCTGACAAAAAAGATGAGCCACTATTACTTATCTCTGTTGTGGCCAAGCAAGTTTTGATGTCTTGGCTTCTACAATATAGGAGCTCAGAAATTGAAAATCTGCACCATGATGGTTCAAATATAGATTCTGAACATGTACGTAGTCCTATTTTGTCAATGTATTTCCAGTGGCTCTCAATTCACATGCCACCCAAGTTTGCAGTGCTCATCAGAAAGTGAAAAGGAAACTGGAAGCTTCTGAGAGAGGAAACTGTTCAACAATGAAAAGTTTCCCAGCCTGACTCAGATTTAACTAAAATCAAGAAACTGAGGCCCAAAACAGAGAGAGCTTATGGATTGGCAAGACAATGACTGGAGTTATGTGGCAGTTGCCGCATTTCTTGTGAAACATGCTGATAGCAGGAAAGGAGATGCCTATTTGTTATCTAGGTGCATATATGTCAGCCATGTTAAATAAGTTGTACTGTATCATTGATTTATCTACGAAATATCTGTCATCTTTCCTCAAATACCAGGTTAAATGTTTGTTTTGTTGTGGTTGCTTGTCGCAATGCTACTCTGATACCGTGGGCTTTTCTATTGCCTTACCGGCTGTGGTATGGAATCCCCAAGCGATCTATTTCATTTTCCTATCACAGGTTGTCGGATAATCAGTTGCTGTAACATATATCTATTTTTCATTCTGCGTGATATTTTTTCTAGGGTTTACTTTTTTACATTGGTTTCACATACATCTCGAATTCTAGCATTGCAGCATTTGGTCATTCCTAGCTTTGTTCAGGATGAAAGTAAGCACTTCATTGTCCAGCATGTTTTGTGTAATAATTTACAGAGCTCAGAACAATTTATCAGAATTGTGCACACAAATCAAACAACTTAAGCTGTTTAAATAATTCTATTTTTGTTCAATGAAAACCTCTAATTGTTGATTCATACGAGCTTTAAATCTGCTGAGAGATGAAGCAAGATGAGATATAAAGAAACTTGGTTACATATTTATTAAGAGGAGTGGGTGGGTGGGGGTAATATATGCAAGAGTGAACTAAAAAATGACAATCAGTTATAATTTAGCTTGGATCAATATATTAATTTGGGTCCTTTTTAGAATACTAACTGCCATGTGCTTTGGTTCCCTCCTCAATTTCATGTGCATGAGAAGTTTCAGCAGCCTTTCTTCCATAGTTTGTTTTCATCCCCTATCCCTTCTAACCTTTTTCTTATCTGCAGCTTCTCCTGATTTTCATTCTCTTGGTTAGAGTTTCTAACTTGATAAATTTTGAAATAAGGGGAAAAAGGAGCCATATATATTTTTAGATATTTTCAGGACATCCTTCTTGTTGTTTGTATATATATTTTTAGATATTTTCAGGACATCCTTCTTGTTGTTTGTGCTCCCATTCTATGATTCACTTGGACATTTAGTATTTTTCTGCTGAAGCTCCTTGGAACTATAATAAAGATGACTTCTTTTTTTTTTTTAGCATTGACTGGTTAGAGTCATTTCTAAAACAGCACGCATCCTAATTAACTTTTCATAATTAACATGAGCTAGTGAACTGCACATTTTGTAGTTGCCATTTTGTTGTAATCGTGTGTGTTTTGGCACTTGCAGATACTGTTAGATCAGGAAATTCATATATCATCATTCGTGGTTCTAGCGATGGAAGTATTACTTTGGATAGTACCACAGCCATTGATGGTTTTATGCAAAGAACTCTGGAATTCAGACAAGAAATGCTTATGTACTGTCAAAGACGTCCACAAACAGGTAGAATAAGCCAGGGAGATGGATGGTGGAAATCCTTGAAAAATCAATCCTCCCAGGAGACTATCAGAGTTTCCTTAACCATGCAGAAGCTGGCAATAGTAGTAATGGCCAAAGTGCCGAACAAATTTCAGTTGACCCCTCATCTTGACGCAAATACCCTAACGAGTGCTCAGAAGAGTACCAATATACCATCATCTGAGATATGTCAGATTTTGCGGTTGCATATTTTTCAGTTCAATTCATCAGTCTGGCGTTCACTGCCTCCATGTTTCAGAAAGAAAAGATTTTCTGCAGTCAAAACCTGAAATTTCTTACCATGTTGTAGTTGTGGAGATGATCAGACAGTGAACTATATTTTCTTTGATTTAACAAGAAAAACAATGAATGGGATTCCTTAAGTGTTCAGCCAACTGATAAATCAAACCACATGCAGGATTGTGCACTAGGTCAGGAGTCAAGTATGGTTTTATGCTTGTTTACTTCTACCGTTGGATTTTATAATTTTACTGATGGGAAATTGATTTCTTTCAGAATTAATCATCACTGAGAAGTATTCTAGTCATGGCATGCGTAACCAATATCAGCTTAGGATACATTATCAAGACAGTTGAGTCAGATCACACTTCAGCAGTTAAAGGTATCGACTAATCAATCTCTTTTTGGATTACTACACAGTCTATATATGGGATGAATCATGCCAATCTTAGGATACATTATTGACACAGTTAAAGGTATCGACTAATCGATCTCTTTTTGGATTACTACACAGTCTTCATATGGGATGAATCATGGCAAACTAGTCTATCAAAATTTTAAAACTAGAAGCAATTTCTTGTATGGAACTTTTGAGTTTCATTTTTTGGTGTGTTTAATGTCACCTGTCCCTGTGGAATTTTTACTTAAAAGACTGGTATATGCTTTCAGCTGAGCATATCAGCCTCCATTAGGCCACGCCACAACCACCACTAGTTTAATGCATATTGCTCACACAAACTATTTCTAACTTCAGACATATGAACTTATGGCACGTGGGCCTTGTCCACTGGTTTGGATCAAAGAATAAGGTGTTGGAAGATTGGTCAATATGGAAAGCTGACTGATCATTCTCATCATGTAGTTAGTGTTCGAGAGCTAGAAGCATTTGATGCAATAAAGTATGGCAGGTGACTGTTCCTTGGTACTCTTCGGATTTCTTTCCTACTTTCAATCAATTGATTCCAAGGTCAGTCCTGTAGGTATTAAATATCATCCACAAGAGAATCAACAACAAAGCCTTTTATCCCAATTTTTTGGGATCGTTTTCATGAATCACGTTCTTCCATTCAGTTCCTCCTAAGTTAAGTGTCATCATATCCTTAATATTTTCTAGACAAGGTCTCTTAGGCTTACTCTAGAGTCCAAACTTCTTGGGGAGCATGGGGGTGAATATTAGTTATCTTTGTTTGGCCAAAGCAGGTTTTGACGTCTTGGCTCCTACAATACCTAAAATGAAAACAAAATTCCTTTACTTTTACAAGTGTTTGTTGATATCTGCTTTTATTTAAAATCAATTATCTCTTGTGTTTAAATTCATTTTTCCTAGAATAATACAACCACGACAACTATAATGCAAAATTAGTTTGGTCTTCTACTTCTAGAGGTTACTTCTCATGTATGACAAGAAAGGACTCTACACCTTTCCACCCCTTGATGTGCAACTTACAAATATCGAAAATTACACTGTATGATCTCTCACTATGCAGTATAATCTTCGAGCTTTCGCACTATGGGGTTATATTGACGGATCTCTTCGTTGTCCATCCAAAACTGTTATTATGCCTTCGTTATCTACATCCTCCATATCAGAAGTCACTTCTAGTAATTCCACAACTGATGATTCTCAGATCACTTACTCTCAGTGGATCTGTACTGATCAACAGATCATGGCATATATTATGTGTTCTGTAGCTATTCCTATTTAACTCCCCCTTGGGCGAGCATCTTCATCTCGTGAGCAGTGGCTAGCTCTCAGTCGCATGTTTGTTCAGACTGGTGCTGCTCGTGAGTATCAACTTCACCAAGCTCTTCAGGATGCACGTCACGGTGATCGGTCTATTCAAGATTTCTATTCCTTATTATCAGACTATTGTGAGGAATTGCAGATGATGGAGGAACCTGTTCTTGAAACGCTTCCAGATTTTGTCATAGCATTTCAAAAACAACGTGACCATCAACAGTTATATCACTTTATCATGCGTCTTCGCTCTGAGTTCGAAAGATTACGTGGACGCATTCTGCATTGTAGTCTCTCCCCAGTCTCCGTGAAGCCGTGACTGAGATCATATCTAAAAAGATCGCATGTTTGTTCAGACTGGTGCTGCTCGTGAGTATCAACTTCACCAAGCTCTTCAGGATGCACGTCACGGTGATCGGTCTATTCAAGATTTCTATTCCTTATTATCAGACTATTGTGAGGAATTGCAGATGATGGAGGAACCTGTTCTTGAAACGCTTCCAGATTTTGTCATAGCATTTCAAAAACAACGTGACCATCAACAGTTATATCACTTTATCATGCGTCTTCGCTCTGAGTTCGAAAGATTACGTGGACGCATTCTGCATTGTAGTCTCTCCCCAGTCTCCGTGAAGCCGTGACTGAGATCATATCTAAAAAGACGCGCCTTCAGATGCTCTCCCCCTCAGTTATTACATCTTAGCAATTACCCTCATCACATACTGTTCTAGCTACTCCTCAGCAATTCTCTTCCTACTGGGGTCCTTCTAACAGTACATCTGATTCCTCTCGGCAACTCTACTATTGTTATTGTAAGAAGCCAGGTTGTCTTATTGATAAATGTCATAAGAGACCACCTCGTCCGACACTCTAAAAGACTCGACCTCAATTTGCTACTGCGGCTGATGTTAACCCTTCTCTTCAAGGGCCGCAGACTTCTAGCCCTCTCTCTTTAGAACACCTATCAGAGATTACTGCATTAATAACCAAGAAATTTAGGCTTAGTGGTGCTGCCTCCAACTCAGATTTTACTGCCTTGTCTGCTCATTCTGGTATTTCTACTCCTTGGATATTCGACTCAGATGCATCTCATCATATGACCTTTGATAACTCTGCTCTTACAAATTGTTCCCTTGCTCCCTCTTCATTATGCATTTATACTGCTAATGACACTCCTCTTGCAGTCTCTCAGTTAGGTGATATTACTCTAAGTTATGATAGTTCTGATCATCTAACATTATCATATCTTCTTCATATTCCCAAATTATTTATGCAACTTTTATCCATTGGGAAAATTACAGATTCTGATTGCACTATCTTATTTAATGTTAAATCTTATGTTGTCTAGGATCACACTGGCCAGAAGATTTAGACAGGTCGTAGAGTTAATGGACTTTATCAGTTGGAGTCTACATCTTTCCATCCCATCCGACATTTGCCATGGGCTCTCTGTTTCTGACCTGCGGCATTGTCGCTTAGGTTATATCTCTTGTTCTCGCTTAAAAATTTTATCTGAACCATGAGTGTTAGGAAATTTAAAATTCTCTACTTTATCAAACTGTACTGGGTGCCGATTAGCTAAACAAATTGCTTTAGCCCCATTTGATTTGATTCATTCTGATATCTGGGGACCTGTCCCATTACCATTATTGTCCGATTATCGATATTATATCAGTTTTATTGATGACTATTCTCGTTACACCTGGGTATATTTCATGCATGCTCGTTCTGATATTTTAAATATTTATAAAGACTTTACAAATATGATTCACACTCAGCTTCATAAATGTATAAAGATATTTCGCTCTGATGGTGCTAGTGAGTATATTTCTTCGGCAATGCAATATATTTTAAAATCACATGGCACTCTCTCTCAGCAATCTTGTCCACCATACACTCATAAACAAAACGATGTTGCTGAGAGAAAACATCGTTACATTCTCGACACCACTAGAGCTCTTCTGATATCAGCATTTGTACCTCAATATCTCTGGACAAAAACATTTCTGACTGCTGTTTATCTTATCAATATTACTCCATTTTCTGTATTAGCTGACACCTCTCCATATTTTCAACTTTGCAAGTCTCAGTTCTGCTACTCTCTTCTTCACACTTTTTGATGTGTCTGTTTTGTCCTGCTTCCAACTCATGAACAAGATAAACTATCTCCACGTACTGCATGATGTGTCTTTCTTGGCTATAGTACTATTAATAAGGGGCATCGTTGTTATGAACCTACTATTCGAAGGTTTCGTATTGCCCGTCATGTGACCTTCTTTGAGAATATTTCCTATTATACTACTTCAGATTCATATCTCTCCTTTCTTCAACCCCCTTCATTACCTTCCATTACTATACATGTATCAATGGCACCTGTACCTTCGTTCGCTCAACCGACTCCCTCCTTCACTCCAATGGCATCAAACGATAGTGCTATTGATTCATGCACACCTCTTGGACATCCGCCCACTACGTCCTCTTTGTAGCAAGATACTCCTACTGATGTCCCTTTATATATGTGTCAGCTTCTTCCGATGTGACTCCTCCCCCTCGCTGAAATCCTCCACGAGATCGTCATCCCCTTACTCGGTATGCTCAATGTGTCACTAACACATATTCTCCTGAGTTTGTCTCTTTTCTTACTGCTATTCACTCTATACATGAATCTAACTCATATTCTGAAGCAGTTAAGTATCCAGAATGACAACAAGCAATGACAGAAGAGCTGGAGGCTTTTCGTTGGACTAATACTTGGGACCTTGTTGCTTTGTCTTCCGGTATTAAACTGATAAGCTGCAAATGGATTTATAAGGTCAAGACTTGATCTGACGGTTCTATTGAGTGGTACAAAGCTCGTCTTGTAGCTCGAGGATTATCACAGGAGTATGGTATTGACTATGAAGAGACTTTTTCTCCTGTTGCAAAAATGACATCCATTCGCACTCTCATTGCTGTTGCAACTGCAAAACATTGACATTTGTATCAAATGGATGTTAAAAATAGTTTTTTAATGGCGATCTTCCTGAGATAATGTACATGCAGCCGCCTCCTGGATTTCTTGCTCCTCCAGGACATGCATGTCGCCTTCGTCGTGCTATATATAGTATCAAACAGGCTCCTCGAGCTTGGTTTGAGCGTTTTCGGCAATCTCTTCTTTCTATTGGTTTCAGTAAAAGTCTAGCTAACTATGCTCTATTTTATTGGTCCTCAGCCTCTGGTACAGTCATTCTATTACTTTATGTTGATGACATAATAATCACTGAGAGTGATTCCTCTGCCATTACTTCCTTAAAGCAATATCTTCAGAGTGAATTTGAGATGAAGGATATTGGATTCCTTCGTTACTTCTTGGGTATTGAGGTTGCTTCCTCCTCTCGTGGCTATATTCTCTCTCAGCAGAATTACATTGCAGACATTCTTGAGTGTGCTACTCTTAGTGATCCTACCATTGCTACCACTCCTCTCTCCACACCGATGGAAATAAACTTGAAGCTTCGACGTGATGATGGTGATCCCTTACCTCAGCCTACTCGATATCGAGAACTTGTCGGAGTATTAGTTTATCTTTCAACAACATGTCCGTATATTGCATATGCAGTACACATCTTGAGCCAATTTGTCAGTAGTCCGACTTTCATTCACTA